CGTGGCCCTCCTCTGGACTTGTTCCAACAGTTCCATGTCCTTTTTATGTTGAGGACATCAGAACTGCACACGATACTCCAGGTGAGCTGAGATGCTACATCCTCCTTATCTTGAGGTACCTTATTTAGCTGTGCTCTGGGAAGAGCCAGGGTACTGCTTTGCTGCCATGTCTCAAAGGTGGGTGATGTTACTGGCAGAGTAGCTGGCCAGCTAAAGGTGTGATTTCTGCTGACAGTTGTGGCTGGTCTAAGACTGGCTTAGTCTTGCTTACAGAGTGGAAGGCAGATTTGATAGATCAGAGGTTCTGGTTCTTAACCTGAAAGAGTAGGGTTTACTTAGGTTACTTAAAGCGGGGGGCAAAGAGTTAATAACAACTTCCGGAAGTCTTGAAGGACATAGATAAGTGTAAGTAGTGTATCTTTTGGAATTAATTTACTGTCCAAAATTTTATGTAATGGAAGGATATTTCGTACAAGGAAGTGTAATCATTATTAAAATACATTTGTAGTGAGGTAGCACATTTATATTTGTGCTTTTTAAAAGCAAAAGTGTGCTTTGTGATACTGAAATGAGACTGTATTCTCTGATCACCTTAGTTGTAGACAGTGTGAATTCATTCCATTTTAAATTGTCAGATTGAAGTCACAATGGTGCATTTAGCATTTAATACCATACTTTATTTACTTACTTATCCTTCAAGTTGTTGTGGACAAAAAGTTTCTTACGTTTTCTATTTCTCAGAAAATTCTGAGGCATTAAGAATAGCCTTGATCAATCTCTTCAAGTATTCTGTGCTTAATTTTGTGAGTATTCAGTTTGACAAACTCGCAATGAAATCTTGAAGGTGTTCATGAGAAGCAGATAGCTGTGAAGGTTGAGTAACTTTTGAAATACAGTATTTTGTTTATCAGTGGAATTGTAATTGACACTTTGAATGATAGTGTGCTGTATAATCCGGTAAGATTATTTTTTTTTCATATTTAAAACAATGGGGAGAGGAATTGGGAGGGGATCTCAAGAGCTCATCTAATTCATTTCCTTTGCTGGGCAGAGTTAATTTTACTTTAATAATTCTCATGAAGGAAGACAGATTGGAAAGCTTGTCAGAAAATCTCTTTATTTCCTTTCAGAAGTATCTCTTCCCAAGAGAAAAAGAAGATGTTAGAGGATCCAGTTGGAGAAGTGCTAACATTAATTTTAATGACAAAATGTTAATGTCGGAGGTAACACAAAGTGCTTTTCTTGGATGTCCATGAGCATACAACAAGAAGTGTCTGGGACCAGAACTACAGCTGATGCTGGAATACTGGTAGCGAGTGGTATACCTTAGCCGCCTCTTGGTACAGCCTCTGGTGCCTCTGTTCACCTTGTGAATGCTTCTTTTGGGAGACAAAGTTGCTGTGCTCTGTTTGAGATTGAAAGAGAACATGGTTGCTTGTTGTATTTAGTTTGTACAATGTAAGTTACTGCTTGGAACTCATGTTGATCTGAAACGATGGTTTTAGCTGAGACTGTAAAAGAACAGCTCACAATATTTCCCCAAATGAGATATGTTTGTAATCTTTTGTCTCTGAACATAAAATTAAGGTTATTGACTGTTGAGAATTAGTACAATAAATTATTTTTCACAGTTTACTTGCTCCATTTTATAGTGTGTAACTTCAGCAATGTTTATTGTGATTTGATCCCACAGGTGCAGGAAATGTACTTGGTGATAAGCCTGTTATTGTACTCTGTCTCCAGCAGATCTGGAATCACTGTGTATTCAAATAAAGAAATCTAAAGTGTATTTATTGATTCTGCAGATGACGTAAACTGTACGTGGCCAGGATTGGAATTCAAAATGATCTTTATAAACTGGAGAGGCATGGAATAAGCTGATACTTGTGTTTTTCTGTTGCCGGCTTAAACTTATTCTGTCTCTATGTGTTTCTGCTCCTAATTTTTGGCAAGCAAATACAAGAAACATGAAGAGACCTCTTAAGGAAAACTTAACCAGACTTTCTTGGTCTGTATTTTCCGCTCATCTTAATGCAGTTAGGATCCTGTCGGTAATACTGTGTTTGTCAGTTTTGTCAATTCCAGCTACTGCCTTGGATGTGGGTATAGAGGAAGCTTTGCAGTACTCTTGCATTGCAGGGAATGGATAGCAAGAGAGGTGTAATAGTGAAGCAGTGTGATGATGAGATGCAGTGGAGCACTTGAATCTCTTCTTGGCTAAAAAAAGATACAGATGGAGACTTCTTTCTAGCAGATAGTGGGGACTACAGCTTCAAATTTCTTGTTTCTTTACTTTGGAAATTGCTTAAGGATGAACATTACAGCGCCAATCCTCTTCTGCTGTTTCTAGTCACCAAGGTCAAGGTAGGTCTTCCAGCTACATGGTACTGTGTATTTCCCTTGAAGAGAAACGAGAAAGTGATTTCTCTTTTTCTGTTTCCCTCCAACTTGCAGGTATCTTTCTCAAGGACGCTAAAGAGGAAGCACAGCTACAAAAAATTCCTTTTTACATTCTTGACAGGTTATTTTCAGCTAAATTCCCTGCACACACTTCTAAAAATGATTTGCAAATCCACATTGGAAGCATGCAAAGGCTTGACTAGGCTCAAAGATGGGTGTAATGTAATAATGAAAGCAAGCATTCTTTAATTTGTTTATAAAATTACACAGATGTAAAATGGAAGTTATGCTTAAGGATAGACTTAGAAATGCTGACTATATGCAGTGGTAATAGTTCAAAATGGTAATCCTGAGAATTTAGAGGCAGCTGTAAGCAAAGTTTCATAATGCTGCTGTAATCTTAAATCCCTTGCTGTAGTCTGATGGGCAATTACAGACTTTTACAAACACGACTTCCTAAGTGCTTAATTTGAAGCAAGCAGCTGTCATTAAAAAACAAACAAACAAAACTACCTCCACCCCGACAGTAAATCTAGACTTCCAAGAATACTGTTCTCTAGGTTCTAACTTCTTGTAGCCTCAAGGTTGCAGCCTTGAAGGCGGCAAGGAAACTTTGTCTCTAAGGCCAGCCTAACTTCCAGCTGATCTGGTGGGTGGAAGTAGGGCTATGTGACAATGTGTATCTGGATGTAGTTACAGTGTTTGTAAACGAATTAAATTCGAGACATATGATTTGACTGAAACTTCTCTGAGATGGATACGCTACTGAGCGAAGAATTACATTCATTGCTTTAGCAAAGCTAAAGGATCCTCCAAGTGGAAGTTTGAGCTACTGCTATGCAATGTTGACAAGTACAGTGTCCGTGATGAAAAGCAGAATAAACTTAAAACACTTACAGGTGACACCAGTTTAGAAACTGTTTAAGTAGAAGACATTTTCCAGTCTAATTTTTATTCTTATAATGGGTAAAATCAACAAGGTCTCCTTAAATAAAGGTAAGTGTACAGGGCTGCATTTGGAAGGACAGATTAGATGAACACGTCAGCTTGGTAATGCTTGCATGAGCAGCTGTTCTCAGCCTGCACGTTTTGCAGCCCTCAAACTGAAGGCGGATCAGCAATATGGGGGTGATGTGACAACTTCCAAATGCCATGGGTGGCAGCGGTGATCTGTGTTGTGTATAATCTGGTGAGGATACAGACATCACCTCGAATCATTAGAGAATCCTAAAAAAGCATTCACAAACAGAAAACAGAGTGGAAGAGTGGTTTAGTCTGGAAAAGAGTTTGAGAGTGAAACAATTCCTGGTAATGGTCTTTACAGGTTTAAAGTATGTGTTTATGCAAACGGTGATTAATTGTTCTCTGTGTTCACTGAGGTAGAGCTATACAATTTGCAGCAATGTTATTTTACTTAATAAGACCTTTTGCAGTTAAGAGTTTGGCCTTAAACAGCAGAACCACTTTTACTGTTGAAGTTCAAAACAATGTTGGAAAAACATGAGTCGTGGTTGCTTGAAGTAGACCTAGTTGTGCTTTGGAGAGTGAAGATGGACTAGAGATTCATTCTAGTGTTACACTTGTGTGTTTTACATAACAGGACCCTAGGCAGAGAGTTTATCTCTCATCGCGCATGCATAGCAAATTATTCAAATGATACAAATATTTTATCTCTTCTTTCCTGGCATGTTTCGTTTTAAAGTTCATTCTGCTGCAGTTGCCTGTTCATGTTTTATAAAGCTTGCTGCATGGATCTGGCTTCCTCACCCTATTTTCATCTTTGTCCCTAAATCTAGGCATCTGATTAAGCCTGGTAATGAAATACTTCCCTCCCCCATGTGTATGCAGCACCACACTTGGAAGTGAAATAGTAGGAACTTTATGAGCTACAAGGGAATGAGAAACGTGCCAAAACTCTTATCTTGCCCTTACCACTTGAGACCTTGGGTCAGTCTTCTCTGCTGGCTGCAAAGCAGAATTATTTTGCAACAGGTTGAGCTTCAGACCCCAAACTTTCTCTTTGATCATAAACCTGGATATGGAGAATAATGGAGGACATAAGGGCCAGCCATCAGCTGCTAAAGGTTTTTTGAGATCTGGAGTGACTTGTTTCTTTGGAAGGGAGTTTTGTATGTGTGATGAAAAGTGAAGCAGCATTTAAATCTTACCGACGGGCTCAGTGCAACCTGCTTTGTCTCCAGATTAGTTTCTGAGCCTGGGCTGTGTGTTGATCATGTCCCCGAAAGCTAGGCTGGAGTTGACTGTTGTATCTTATGTAGGCTACTAACAGGTCATCACAGGCCTGAGGACTCGTGAGGAGCGATGCCACGCTTTGTAAAGCGAGGTGAAGCCGCTTGCCACCCCAAGCTGGGTCTGCACACAGACGTTCCACGGAGTCGCGCCCGGGGCCGCGGTGTGGTGCGGTCGGGCTGTGCCGCCTTCCGCGCTGTTCCCCCGCCCGAAGCGCCCCGGGCAGCGCTCGCTGGCACCGCCGCGGGTTGCAGCAGAGCTGCTCCCTCGCGCAGCCCGGGGACCCCGCGGCCGCTCCCGCATCCTTCCCGCACAGAGGCGGGGAGGCGCCGTGCGGGCCAACGCGCACCCTCCCCGCTGCCGGCGGCGGCCCGGGCCGCCTCCCGCCTCGCTGCGGGGCTCCGCCGCCGCTATCGGGCAGCGGGCGCGGGAGGCCAGGCTGCCGCCGCGGCCATGGCGAAGAACGGTGAGTGCGGCCGAGTCCGGGAGGGCGCGGCACCCCCGGGACGGGGCTCGGGGCCCGGCCGCGCCCTTCCCCGGCCGCCGCTGGGTCGAGGGGCTTTCCTTCTGCCGGCCCGGGTGGGGGGAGCGGCGGGGTGGAACCGGGCCCCTCTCCGGCGGCCCTGCCCCTGGAACCGCCAGGGAGGGGAACCGCCACCGCGGGGCCCCGCTAGGCGGGAAAACGGGGATCAGAGGGTGTCCGTTCTCCTCCGTGAGGAGGCCTGGCTGCGCTGCCCGAGCCGCCGGGGTTTCACAGGGGATGGGGTGATGATGGTGGTGGTGGTGCGTGATACCTGTGCCTTCCACACGGGAAGGGATGGGCAGGTGAGTGCACACGGATGCAAATTTTGGGGAGAATAAAGGAATAGGAAAGACTACTTTTAAGATGCTAATAAAGAACAGGTGTTCTTTTAATCACGGGAGGCTTGGCTGTGTCTGAGAGACCCGGAGTTGCTGGGTTTTCTGACCACACTCTAATACAAATGATTTCAGGGATGATCGCCTTCTGTTATTCGATTGATCAGGTTGTTGCCCGATGGCATGTTACCACCATGGCTTAGGTCTTGGCCATGGTACTGGTGCTGCTGCATGGAGGGTGGCTATTTCTCTTAATATTTTGGATCGCAGCACTGGTGAATTAGAACCTGAATGACCGCTGTTAGCCGAGGTCCTGGCAGTCTCCTCCCGATTTACTGTAGAAAAAGCAACATCAACGCTTCACAGAGATTGCTAGGTTGATTTACTGTACCTCTTGCCAGGTTGGGTGAAACAACCACATGAACCTTTAAGAGATACCAGGATGGCACACAGCAGTTTCTAAGCTCTCGGGAACAAAATCCTACATTTGAGCTCTTCCAAGAGATCGGACCTCGTGGGGAGTTTAATTTCTCTCTTCCTTTTGTCATTTGGTGATGGTCACATGTGTTTGCTGTTCCTTGTTTTCTTTTGAGGCCGTCTCTCTGAGGAAGGGCCATCTCAGGCAAGGTCCAGGCTGATGGGATGTGAAGTCATCCCACCACTTCAACGTGGTCTTGAGGGAATTAGAAAATGACTTGGTTTCATCAGAGTAACAGTACACTTTTGCTTAGCAGAATCTGTCCTTCTCTTAATTATATCCTCAAATCAGAGATCCAAAGGCACTAATAGGGCTCAGTACATAATTATCATTAGTTTGCATTTTATAGTATTTTACTAATTATTGACAATATGGTAACTTGGCTTCTCACCTCTGTTCTTGCTGCACAAATGTGAAATGGGTAATTGTACAATATTTAATTAATTGGGTGTCTTTCTGACCCAACAGTCAGCAGAGCTGTTGCATTGTTCCTTAAACAAGAACACCTCTGTGTACTCCAAAATACTTACAAGAGGTTTGTTTAATGGACCTCCTCTTCTGATAGGAGGCTCAGGCTGCAGGCTGTGCTACTTGGTGGGTGACTGGTTAAGGTGTGGGGACAGCTGAGCTCCTACCACCCTGACCCTCTGCTCTTGGTTTTGGGTGTACAGGGAGCTTGGCTCAGCTGTGTGGACAGACTCTCCCAGCCTGGGATTGTAGCAGGGGTGAGAAGAGCTCCAAGTGAGGTTTTATGTTGTAGGTTGTAGATCTAAGGTCAGATCTGGGCACCCAGAATGTTGGTGTTCTTTCTAGAGAAGGCGAATTGGAGGAATGTTTTTCTAGAATTTCAATTTAGTTCAATTTCATCACACTTAAGAGGAAAAACTGCATAATGTGACTAAGAGCAGCAAACAGAACATTTAAGTTTCTTATGATGCTGTAAATTAGCTCCTCATAAGACTAGCAAATACAAGGGATGGGATTCACCACAAGGTATGGTTGCTGCAATGTTGGAGTGTTGATATAGTGAAGTATGAAGTGTACAAAAGCAGCCTAGAGACATATGCATTGTCTTCTGGTTCAGCTTCTGATGCTTTGGAGTGGATCATTTTCCAAACTGCTTCTATTAGGTGAGCTTTGCTGGAAAATGTCTGTGCTTCGTTTGCTGTTCCTTGCGGTTCCTTCCATGTGTTGCTTTCCTGGGGCTGCCACCGCCTTTCACTGGTGCCACAGTGAGACCCAAGCTAATAAATCCTGCTAAACTCATCTGCCTTGGCCCAGAGCCACTGGAGAGTCATGCACTGCCCATTGTTTTGTGTGCCAGTACAGATGTGGTGAGCTTTCATCCTGCTCTATGTCAGCATTAGCTGTCTTGCAGAGCTGATGTCCTGGGTCTGAAGCATCATGCTTTCAAGGCTACCCATGTGTTTTGTGTTCATTGTTACTTGGTGGCTTGCAATATTTAATCTTAGTAAGTGTATCTAACAGTGAATTCCTCATCTGTTTGAAAATTACTTTATGTTTTGATTGAGAAATAAAAACCTAGAGTAAAAAGACCAGAGGAAAGCCTAGTATTAAATTAATAATGTGGCATTCATTGGACTTGGAGTGCTGGTATTAAATTCCACTCAAGTATAAAATGTGATTCTTACTGAAATGGGCAAATCTGTATTGTTCTGTTTGGCTTTATATCCAACAGACACCTCAGCAGATGCCAACCCTGCCTGCATTTGCATGGAGCAGTGGCACCATTGGCAGAACTGGGAGTTCTGCTACGTTAGGGAGCTTTGGGATGAGAAGGGGCATCCTGATAGCTCAGGTAGCATCAATTTCTGTCCTTGTATCTGAACTGTTCCTCAGAGATGGGAATAACAGCCAGAAGATCTCTTTTGCTCTGTGATTCTGGGCTGCCAGAAGAGCTGGTGGTGCTGATTTGAAGTGATCAGAGATATGTGTTACAGCAGTCTGCTCCGATTTTTATTGTTAAATAATTCATTGTTCCTGCTGGCTGAAGAATCAAAAATGAAGGAAGTTTGGTCTCCAGTAGCTTTGGCTTCAATACAATTTGAAATGAGTACAGCTTGGAACACAGTTCAGGTCAATGCTAAAGACAGCTGTGGATCATTTCAATACACTTCTAGAGGTATTAAAGGGGCAGGAGGAGGCCAACCCCATGTGCTGAAAGGGAACCTGATGGGGAAGAAGGCTGGCCTGCCTGAACAGAGCTTTAGCTGGAACTTGGGAAAAGAAGACCTTTGGAAGAAGGGGCAGGCAACTACAGGACTACAAAGATGTTGTGAGGTTATGCAGGGAAGAAATTAGAAGGATGAAAGCCCAACTAGAACTTAATCTGGTTACTGCTGTAAAATAGCATCCTGTTTTGTATCAGTAATAGTATAGCCAGCAGGACTATGGCAGTGATTGTCCCCCTGTACTCAGCACTGGTGAGGCTGTACCTCGACTAGTGAGCTGAGACATTACCTCCCGTGCCTGTATGCTTGATGCCTGACTGTAAAATTGCATATAAGTGTGGAAGGCTTGTTTGAGTACAGCCACATTGGTGCATATGAAAAACCTGCTACTGGGAAATAAGCAGAGCTGGTAGTTTCTTTCTTATTTTTTATTTCCTTGTATGTTACCTCCCTTGTTTCATTTTGATGTAGCGTTGCTTAAATTCTTGCTCATAATAGACCTGCATCACATCTGGCTGTGTTGAAAGCAAATCTTGAAAAATGCTTGCTTTGTGCAAAATATTGATTGCAATTGTATGTTCTCCTCTAAATACGTGAAACAGTTAGTTGTATGGAGAAACTGCTTTTGTGCTTATGCACCTGTCCACATGAGAAAACATTCAACTACGTAGGCAGACTTCAAAGTAACTCGCAAAATAAATTGGAGAACATTTTAAATCTGTTTCCTTCCTGTTTTGATTCAAGTGGGGGATATTCTCCAGGGACACTGCCTCTGATGAGAGTTTGCTTGGGGCACTATTATTTGCAAAGGTAAGCAGATTCATATGTCTAGGAGGAGAGGATGGGGAGAGTTTCATCTGAAGAACTGGGATGCAGCTGGGGAGGCGTAGGCAGCATTCCTTCTTTGACAGAATAAAAGCTAAAGGGCCAGTGGGCTTGTGGGTCCTAGAGCCAGGCTTTTTAAAGATATTTTTAGAGGTTTTGAAGATGCAAGTGAGGCACCAAGCCAAATATTTTTGAGCCTGTAGGGCACCTTAAATCAAATCTGTCCCCAGAACCTTGCTGATAATGGCTCTAGCACTGATTCAGTAGGCTTGGGTCACTGTGGGATGGGTCACATTCAGTGCAGATGGGCAAGTAAGAAAGAAGTCTTCCAAGTGGTGGTGCATCTGTGGATGTGCTGGCGCCCTGAGCTGGAAGCACTGCAGCTGTGAGAACACTGTGAGCTGTGTCAGGGTTTGTAAAATGAAGCACTGTGGCTTGCCTTTGCTCTAAGTAATGATGCCAGCACTTCCAGAGGGACCCATCTGCAGGAGTCTGGAACTTACTGCACTTGGCTTTCTTGAAGTGTTCTTTTGGTACAAGTGCACGGGGGAAGCAAGTGTGTACCATCTGGCCTGATTAAGTCCTTCCATGGTGCTGATGCTGCTCAGCTGTAGAAATGACTCTTATCTAAATAGGAGTATCTGTAATTATCAGGGAAGGTTATCTAAATCCATCAGGCAGCTTCATTTTGAAAACCAGCCTCTTATGTGCCTTAGATAAGGTCATTAAGGAGATCTTGTGTTCACTTTCTATCTGTATGATCTATTGCTGATGGCTCTGATTGTGCACTGAGAAAATTTGATCAGTTATTCAGCAAGGGCTTGAGTCTAATCTGTTCTGGGGCTGGGAAGACACTAACTCCACAAACTGGTGTGGTTAGTTGCTATTTAGGCACTCAGACTTTGCACTGACCATGTAGTTTTTGGAGATGAATTCCTGGTCAGAGGAGGATATAGTTATTGACTATTTATTTGATATGTATGTATTCAACCTATTAGAGTGGCTGTAAACAAATCAAATTAGACATGTTTTAATCAGTCATGGACACTGTGTTAGTTGTGCTATCAGGAGTGGACTTCTTGGATATCTTCATGTGTAAGATAGACTGGTTTT